TTTATTTCCTGTCATTGCCCCAAAGGTCATCTCCAAGCTAGCCCTTGCTTTATTATTAAATGTGATTAAGCAACATATTTCTATATTAAAATAGGTTTCAAGCCACTAGCATTTTTCCTCTCACAACTGTTAAACAAATGAATGATTCATTGCAGTATTGTGCTACCGTTTGGAGACTCTAGTGTTCTACGACGCTTTATGTTGCTGGCTTTTGGCCCTAATCAAGAATGCAACAAAGTTGTTCTAGCAGACTCCAGATGGCAGAGGGGGCATCATCACCCCACTTTTTTTTGACATGCCTGCAACTTTTTAACATGCATTTTTGGGGCTCACTTTTCTAACCATTAGCAGATCATCCCACATATTTGGGAACCTGCCAGTGACTAAGAAGTTCTTCAGAACTTTGTAGAGGTACTACTGCACTACCTCCAGAATACCTTCTGCATTCCTATCAACAGGAAGACAGCTGTACAGAAATACATGTACAGTGATTGTCCCATGAAGAGAATGAATAGGAAGAAATGGAGTGGAAGAATGCTCCATCTGGATCTAAGAGTCCTTGTCCTTGGTTTATTTTCCTGTAGAGTTTGACCTGAACCCTTCCCATTCACAGTTCATAGGGACTTCCTGGATTATGTGATACTTAAAGCCAATTTAGAACCTCAGGTAACTGTGCTGGATCATGACTAAAACATCAACATGAAAAGAAAGTTCATGAAATGGTAAACAGGATTTTAAGTTCTTGAGAAGTCCATCTGTCTATTTACTGTACCTATTATCAATCTGTCATCATTTTATAATTAAACTCAATATTTAATTACTAAAATGCTTAGTAATGGCTAGGAAAACAAAGGAATTAAAACAATTTTAGATGTCTTTCAATTAGGAAGAAAAGCATACAAGATTAAAAAAAAAAAAACTGAGGATTTCGTGATGAGATCCAAACCATAGAATGGGGACAGGGGAAAGAACAAGGGGAAGACAAAGGGTTCTTCTGCTGCTGATGACATCAGAAGCACTTATTAGAATCATTTTCTCTTTTAGCTGTCATGATTAGTTGCTCCTTAGTATTGAGGTCTGGCCTCAAAATAATAATGTAGCATTTGGGGAAAAAGATGCAGCCCAGCAGCCCAGCACTGGAGGCCAAGATGGAGGTGATCTGCACAGCCACCATGTACTTCCCTTTGGTGCTCAGATAAGTGGGCACAAAGGACACCCAAACACTGCAGAAGACCAGCATGCTGAAGGTGATCAGCTTGGCTTCGTTGAAGGTCCCAGGGAGGTTCCTAGCCAGGAAAGCCACCAGGAAGCAGACGGCAGCCAGGAAGCCCATGTTGCCAAGAGCAGAGTAAAACATGGTGACGGATCCTTCATTGCATTGTAGGGTGATCTCTCCAGGCTGAGAATGCAGGTCAAAGTCAGGAAATGGGGGAGAAGTGCCAAGCCAACTGCTGCAAATGACAACTTGAAGACCAGAGCAGGAAAGAACAATAGAGTTGGCCAAGCTCTTCCCCAGCCATCTCTGTACTTTACTCCCTGGTTTTGTGGCCAAGAAGACCAGCACCACCATGATCGTTTTGGCCAAGACAGAAGAAATGGCAACTGAGAAGATGATGCTAAAGGTTGTCTGTCGGAGAAGGCAGGTGGCTCTCCTCGGTTGGCCAATGAAGAGGAAGGAGGTGAAGAAGGAAAGCAAGAGGGAGACAAGGAGGATGTAGGAGAGGTCCCTGTTGTTGGCTTTGACGATTGGAGTGTCTTGGAATTTAATGAAGATTCCCAAGACAAAGGATGTTGTTAGAGACAGGAACAAGGCAATGGAAATTAGGATTATTCCCAAATAGTCTTTATAATTTAGGAAGGTTTTAATCTTGGGAGCACAATGTTCTTGACTGATATATGGATACTGATCTTCTGGACAAGTGGTGCATTTTTCTGCATCTGAAAAAAGCAAGAGTAATGTCTACCTTAAAGCTGGTTCTTTTGTCTTTTATTGAAACTACTATTTGCATAAAATTAGTAAGGAATGAATATAGGGAGGTAAGCAGTAAGAATGAAGATGCAGGATGTTCGGTATCAGATAATGTATTTCCCATGTAGCAAACTCTGGAGAGTCTTAAGTAGAATAAACTAGAACACGATTTGCCAAAGATAAAGATGAATCACTGCAACCTATTCTCAGAAAGAGCTGTGACTATTCTAAGGTGTTGCCTACTTTTGTACTTTCACATACACCAAACGACTTTTTGGAGATTGAATCCAAAGCATGCACAACCCTATGACTAAATTACCAGAAGAGGTGGTGGAGTCTCCTTCAATGGGTGTTTTCAGAGGAGGCTTGCAGAGAATGATGGTCAGTATCCAGTCCTTCTCCACAAAAGTCCACCGAGAAAGTCCAGAAGTTGAGACTACCTGGTCCTATTCATCCAGGTTTTCTAACATGCATCCAGCAGCTCCAGCAAGTTCCACTGCATTATAGGGCCCCCAATTTCAGTTGATTCCAAGATGCAAGTCCCGTCCTTGCATCTCTCTGTGATTGGCTGGTGGTCTTTGAGGCCAGGTTCTGCCACCAAGCCCACTCAAGGTCCCCTCTTTCTTCCTCTAAGTAAATGCCTCAGACGAGACCCTCCCTTCTCATGAAGATAAAGGGAGCAAGGAGGGAAGTGCATTCAGACCTGCAAAATGCTATAGAAATTAAATAAATAAATACATTCTGCAATTATACCTTTACAATAAAAGTAGCACTGACCTACATGACATTGGATACCTAATTTGATCTACCTTGAAGGGTAGACACTCACACAGTATGCCACCCTGCCCTCTTGACACTGACCTAGATGGAAACCTGAAATCTCCTGACAACAAATTCTACAACTCTTGGTGTAGCCTGGGACTTTGAGTGTTCTCTGACAAGCCTTCATATTGGAGCTAAATATCCTGATTAAAATTGCTAAAACTACCATTGCCAAGTCTTCAGTTCCTAGGTCCACTGGCACCAACTTCCTTGTTGTCGAACCTTCTCCACTAAGCTCAGGACCAGGCATAAACCAGCCAGGTTGGCCTCAATTCCAATTTCCTTTTGATTATCAGTACTTCTACTTGGCTGCTGTCTCTTTCAGCCTTCTTCTCTGTGTTCTCTTCTCCATTATCCTCCTGTTCTCAACTCCTAATAGCCTAACCCTAGCTCAGAGCTTAACTACAATACCTACTAAAATAACAATCATACGCAAAAGCAAACCCAGACAAATCATTAACAAAAATGTATACCACTAAATCAAGACTTCTAGCATTCTCTCCCCTCATTCCCAGCTCAAAAGGTTAATTACCAGTCACTATCGTAAAGCCAAATAAAGCAGAGTAGATAATGTGAGTTGCCAGCAAGGGGTTGTTGGGCTCTGGAAGCTGCCTAAACATTTGCCAGTCTTTGAGCTTCTGAGAAAATGGGACCAGGCAGGGGGTTGGACTGGATGACTCCTAAGGTCCCTTCCAATCCTGTGACTCCATGATTCTATGAAATCTGAAATCATGAACTTCAGCTGCCTCTTGGAATGGTTCCATCCAGATTTGGACAACTGCAGGAAGACTCACTGCATTCTTTTCCAGAGACCTACTCCATCTCGTTATGCCCTGGAGCCCTGTACATTCTTGCTTTTCAGAGAGAGTAGATGAATACCAGTCTTAGCAATGGAAGGTGTGTGCAGAAGGTGAAGAGCGAGAGATGTTCTCTCTGCTCATGCCAAATACTGGCTAATCCAATATCCTTTAATATTGTGCCTCTGGGTAATTTCTTACTCACAGTGAAATGAAGAATAGGACCTAAAATTTAATGGCATAACAATAGATACACAGCTGGAACAATGGACTGGACTCAAGCAGAACTAGAAGCCCTGGATAGGAAAACCAGGAAAATAATGGCAATGAATCATGCCCTTCATCCATGCAGCGACATTGACAGACTTTACTTACCAAGGAGCACAAGAGGGCATGGGATGTTACAAGTACACCAGACAGTTGAAGAGGAAAAAAGGGCATTGGAAGAATATCTGAAGGACAGCGAAGAAGATACACTGAACCTAGTACACCATGAAGGCTTACTGAATACTGAAGAGACCAAACTGGCCTACAAGAAAGACCAAATGAAGAATAGAAAAGAGGAATGGCAAGGCCATTTGCATGGCCAGTACACACATGCACACACCAAAAATGAGCAGGCAAAGCAGATAACAAGAAGACCTGGTAATGGCTACGAGCAGGAAAGTTGAAGAAAGAGACAGGAGCTAATTCGGGCTGCATGACCCCAAGCCTTAAGAACAAATACATAGAAAGCCAGAACTGAGAAGACAGCAACAGATGGCAAATGCCGCCTCTGCAAAGAAGCTGAAGAGACAGTGGACCACCTCGTTAGCTGCTGCAAGAAGATCGCACCGACTGACTACAAACAATGGTATGACAAAGTAACAACAATGGTGCATTGGAATATCTGCAAGAA